GCCCCAATAAAAAAACATCAGAAACTGATTTTCTTCAGAAGACCTTTCAACATCTAATGAGCTGATCTCAGTTTTTCTCCTTTGACTTATCAACAGTTAATCATATGAAAAGACTGTTCAACATTCAGCCAGCTTTTACTCCTAGTATTTTTCAGCATAATTATTATGAAGGAATGATGGAGAAAAAGAACATGAAGGCCAAACTGCAGTTGTTAAGTGCTGTGGAGTTTCCGAGAACAGCTGGTGGGCTTCAACCACCAACCTTGTGGTTAGTACAGTGTTAACTATCCTACACCACTGCACCAGGACTCCTAAAGTGCAGTAGTTAGCCTTTGTATCCTTGCTTTCTATTCAGAATACTAGACAAACAAACAAACAAACTTCAATGAATAGCAAACACAATTATTCATTAATTCACTCATGTTAAGATTTACTGTTTTATACTAAAACACGACATAACACAATACTCAAGATTAACACTAAAAATTTTTTTAAAATGCTTATTGTAACAAAACACATAACTATATAGACACTGGAGTCTAATGGTATTAGCAATATGTGACAAGTTATACTATACACAGGCCTAAATAAGATGCTTTCCAAACAAAGTGAACCTTTCTGAAAGAGACACTGGTCCTGTATCAAAGTTAATGTTAATTCTGGAACAGAATTCCTATCAAAGCAATTAATTAAATTCACTTGGTTTTGCTGTTCAGGTTTTTATAAATTATTCTTTTCTCTTGTTTTTGAACATATACATACACATACATAATATACAGCTCACCAGTCATACAATTATATAAGATATAAATTATTTTATGAGTTAATAAAAGTTAAACTGACTCACAACTCTGGCTTAAAATTTTCTTAAAGCGCAAAATCAAATTCTGGATGATGGAGGTCATCCAGAACTTTATGACTGAAGTACTGAAGGCTTGGCCAGAGGGACTGAAATGGGTCACATCCTGTTCTATGGCACTGCTGTAAAGTGAGCTGCTCTTCATGCCTAGAATAAACAATGTTCATGTCCAGGTGGAAGCATTCCAGTTTGCTCTTTGGCGATACACTAATCATAAAAATGACAACAAAAAATGCAGTAGGATAATAAGTGTTCTGAGAAAAAAGTTTTAAAAATGTAAAACCATCTAGATTTTCTAAAAAAAACTAAGAAAGCTGAATTGAGAAGGGTATCATGTTTGGTAGGGTGGAGGGTCAGAGAAAAAGAGGTAGACCCCTAGCGAGATGGATTTGCAAAGTCGCATCAATAGGCTCAAGCGTGGCAATGATAGTGAGGTTGGCCCAGGAGAGGGCAGTGTTTCGTTCTGCTGTGCATAAGGTCGCTATGAGTTGGTACCAACTCGATGGCACCTAATGATAAGAACGAACTACTGTGGCTTCCAGAATCCAAACATAATTTGATCACCAAGAGGTTTAACTCCACAAATTACTAATGGCGCTATAGGATAAGCACTGGATTGCAAACTGCAAGGTTGGTAGTTCAACACCAGTCACTCCTCTGAAACCCTACATAGGGTTGCTATGAGTCAGAACATACTCAAAAGCTCTCAAAAACAACAGCATTGCTGAGGAATGTTTTAGAAGGTCATCAAACTGTGATGGAGTGATAAAAAGAAAGTGCACTACATGACTGAAATCTAGACACCAATCGTTTGACTATTTTTGACAAAGGCAAGCCACATAAATAAAGATCATTTTCTCCTCTAAAAGTTACAACAAACCCTGATTCTAAATAGGCAATTAAAAGCAACATATTTTATCATCTCCAAAGAGCTATACGCATTGATACTAAAAGAAACTAAAGGAAATCCGAATTTTTACACTATTTTGTTTACTACTTTAAGGTGGTGATGGCAATATATTAAAAATATAAACTTTGAATTAGGGTTTATTTTTTTTTTTCAGTACTAGGTCATTTATTGGATATGTTCAATCAAAAAAATTTGGGCAACTCAAAAAATTGGGGTTTTATTAAAGTTCTTGAATGTTTTAATTCACTTCAAAATGTTTAATTTAAAAATTTTAATTTTTCAACACTCTTATGTCAGTCTATTTTATACGCTTGGATACTCTATGGCACTTTAACAACATTTAAACACTAAGGAGCCCTGGTGGGGCAGAGCACTTGGCTGCTAACCCAAAAGTTGGCAGTTCGAACCCACAAGCCACTCTGCAGGAGTAAGTTGAGGCAATCTGCTACAGTAAAGATTGTTGTTATTGTCAGGGGCTGTCCAATTGGTTCCCGACTCACAGCTAGCTGAAGCACAACAAAACTGCCCAGTCCTGCACCATTCACTTGTCAATTCATCTTTTTGGGAGTTTGTGGGCTAATGCGCTGGACTGCAAAGTCATTTGAAACGTAAGTTCACGAACTGCTCCTCAGAAACCCAATACAGGTTCACTATGGGTCGGAACCGACTCAACGGCATTTAACAACAAGCCTTGGAAATGCTATTCTGTCTTATAAGACTATGATCCTGAATTGACAGACAGTACACAATTTAGAGACTAGTGAAAATGTGCCAGTTACTGTGTTGGGCTCTGGGGTACACTAATAAATCTTTATTTATTAAAGATTTATGGAACAATAAATCTTTACCGAGTTCAATCTAGTGGAAAATTACCACTGAACTGCGACTATTATCAGGGGTAAGCAGAGTGTTATGGGAGTACCTCAAAGAGGACCTAAAAGAAATGAAAGAAGAGCCATCAGGGGAGGATTCCCTGGAAGTGATGCCTTTGCAGTCTAGAGAAAAGAGCTGGGGGGCAGGGAGTTGTGGAACCCAGCGAAAGGAGCGAAGTTGGTAGGTATAAAAGCTGGGAAGGAGACAAGAGAGAGCCTGTGAAGTGTAAGCAGTTTAGAATGGTTGGAATATAGTCTTAGCAAAGAGATGTTAGACCAGCGTTTGAATCCTCTTCAGTCATTTAAAGACAACTTACCTGAATTAACCTCAGAGTTTCTTCAAATACTAAGGACAGATCAATAACCTTTTAAGGGACTAAATGAGACTTTGTAAATCAACAGTGGCTAGAAGCACAAATACTAGATTCTCTTTTTTTGCCTTGTATATGAACATTTGGTTAAGGGTGAAAGATGAAAGAACAAAGAGCTTCAAACAGTTTTTGGAAAAATGAAATGAAAAGACAATGGGAATTTTTCTATGAACTTTTTGACGCGCCCTTCTATGACTGTGATAAAAAGGCAACCCTTCACACAGAGGCAAGAAACTATGACTAGCAACTACCTCCCCATTTACTGTGAGACTCATATATTAAGTAAACAAGCAAATTTCTTAGTCACTGCCTGACACACCACAGGACCCCTAGTGGCAAAGATGGTGGCTCCTTGGTGAGCAGTAAGCATCAACCAGCTGCTCCAGTGGGCAAGATTTAGCAGGGTTTTATAGTCTCAGAAACCCAAAGCAGCACTTCTGTGTCCCATAGGGTCACTATGAGCTGTAATTGACTCATCTGCACCACTCAATGATAAACCTTCTGAAAACTAAAGAAACTTTCCCCAAGTTTGGCACAAAACTTATAACAAAATCTGACCCAATGCTATTGTCGTTAAGTGCTGTCAAGATGGTTCCAACTCCTAGCCACCTGTATAGGGTTTTGGAGAAGATGCCGGTGGGTTTGAACAGCTAACCTTGTGGTTAGCAGTCCAGTGTTTATCTTATAGTGCTGTTCCAAGTGATTTATTTTTTCTATCAAACCCCACTTGCAGATGCCTGGTGTGGCACTGTCGGATCAGCACTGGTCTACCAACCACAAGATTGGCTGTTCAAACTCACCAGTTGCTCCCTGGAAACCTGTACAGGGTCACTATGAGTCGGAAACCCACTTTAGTGCCAACATTCATACTTATCGATACAAAATATCACCGTTCGAGTGCCAGGTTGTTGCACCATATTGTTTTTTCTAAAATCTAGAGATTTCTGAATTCCATAACACATTGGCTCCATGCGTTTTGGTTAAAAGAATCGATGACAAGTTATTACTGCTTGTTGAAGAGAAAGAAAAAGTATACTTCAACATAAGCAACTCAATTTAGACGTTTCTGAGGCAAACTAGTTTTGAAAAGGGGTTCAGAGACACCAATAGCAAGAAAAATGTCTATTCTTCTTGGTACAGAAAAAATTACTCCTGCTACCCTTGCCTGTAAAAGGGTTCATTTTCAAAACGGGGTTTTATCACCATCAAGTGTACAAGTATGTATTTCGCTAATAGTAATGCTATAAAAATTTTCAATCAAGTGAGAGTAGTTTGATGCTACATTAGAATCATTTATCTTATTAAAAGCACTACTCTTGGTTTCCACCGTAAAGAAGCAAACAGCTTCGGCTGAGATGCGCACCTAAAGCCTAGAGTCTCGCAGAACCTAGCTGCCTCTTCTTGTATGACATGGAGCTTCATCTAACGTCATTTATTAGCAACTCCGCTAATTCGTAATAACCACAATGTGATCACAAAAGCGGAATCTTAAAGAAACGACGGGGTTTCCTCTACTACTAGTGCAGGCGTTTCCCGTTTTATTAGAAATTAATGAGTTGGGAAGGTCATGGCCAAGGGGCGCCAAGCCAGCCGCCCTTAGGGACCAGACGAACAAAGGGAATCCGGGATCAGCCGGAGCCAACCGGCCAAGGAGCGGGTCGTGCCCGCCGTGTGGGGGGTGGGAGCCGGAGTGGGGGAAGGGCCAGGCACGCCCCCAACCCCCCGCCCCCTGCCCGCCGAAGTCCTCCAACCAGACCTGACGTCAGGAGCTAAGATACCCGCTGGGCATGACGTCACCAGCCACAGACGCCTTCTCCCTGGAGGGCAATGTGGAGAGGCCTGCCCACAGAGGGAACCTTAGAAGCGAAACCACGGCCCAAGTATTGGGGGTGACTCAAGGCACCTCCGTTACCGCGCTGCGCCAGCCTATTAACCCGAGATCCCCCGCCACCCTCTACGCCTCACATTAAACGCTAAAGTAGCCTCACCCGGCAAGATCCGAGCCCGCAGCAAGGTCTAGAAGCAACGATGGATCCGACAGAAAGCGCCGAAGAAGAGAGCGCAGTTTGACTGACGACGGCAGTAGCGACAGCACCAGCACTCACAGCGCGCGGCTCCTCCTGGCGCCGGAACAGGAAGCGCCTCACGCCTCGCGCGCCATCCGTGCCCAGGCTCCGCCTCCCCTCGGGGCGGGCCCGGGGGCTCCGCGGCACCCCCTAGCGACCGCTCGGGGCATTCTGAAGGAACCCACCAAACCCAATACAGTACGGGGGATTCCAACTCAGTGACCCGACTGGGCAGAGTAGAACTGCTTCTTAGGGTTCCGGCCGTTGTAACTCTTCACAGAGGCGGATTGCCTCGTCTTTCTCCCATAGAGCAACTGGTGGGTTTGACCTTGCGCAACACTTAATGCACTGCACCACCAGGGCTGACGGAAAGTTCCCCAGGGACTGTGTGTGTGTGTGTGAGATGGTGTGGGCAGGGGAAGTACGGGACAACGACGCTTGTGTCCTGAGCTCGGAGTTTGCTGCAGGGAAGCCGGGGAAAGTCACTAACGTGCTTGAGTGCAGATTCTGGATTCCTTACGCTCAGCGGTTTTTACAGCTAGGCCTCGAAGCAGGTTGTTTGTTGTGAAGCGCCTTCGGAGTCGGCTCCGACCCATAGCGACCCTGTATAGAGTTTCCGACGAGCAGCTGGTGAGCGTGAAATGCCGACCTTGCAGTTCTAAAGACTTTGCAGTGTAGTGCATTAATCCACAGCGCCACACCAGGACTGTGTGTGTTTGTGTGTGACCTCCGGTAGCGTAGTGGTTACTAGTCGGGCTGCTAAAGGTCATCAGTTCGAAACTACGAGTGGTTCCGCCAGGAGCAAGACGGAACTGACTCCAAGTAACAACAGGGAGCTCTGGTAAAGTAGTGGTTACGAATTGGGCTGCGGACCTCAAGGTCAGCAGTTCGAAACTACCAGCTGCTCCGCGGGAGAAAGATGAGGCTTTCTACTCCCTTAAAGATTTACAGCCTCAGAAACCCTGTTCAGGGTCGCAACCGACTCGACGACACTTAACAACATAGTTAAAGTATTCGGCTGTGAACCACAAAGTCATGGTTCAAACCCACCAGCGGCTCCTCAAAAACCCTGTACAGGATAGGATGACTGTGTCAACTCGATGGCAGTAAACCACCACCACCCCACTGCTAAGGAGACATACTGAAAACCTAGTATTTTTTTGCCATGTAACTGTGACATAATTATTAGCCTGCAGGTTCCTTATGACTGGAGCCATGTGTTAATCATTCTTTTGGGCCTGATGAAGTTTAATGTTTCTTCAGCAATGTAACTGGAGAGACAAGGCATTGGTCAAGAAAAATCTGAAATGACAACCATTTATGAATGTATAAAACCGCTTACAAATTTCTCTCCTGCGTTGTTCCAATGGTTACATTTATGTGCTGCCAGTCGGTTCCGACTCAGTGCCCCCATTTAGGGTTTCCGAGGCTGGAAATCTTTACAGGAGCAGAAAGCCTTATCGTGCTCCTGCGGAACAGCTGGTAGTTTCGAACTGCTGTCCCTGAGGTTAGCAGCCTGATTTGTAACCACTACGTAAGACCCTGGGTGTTGCCAAAAGCTAATACTCCACTGCTAATTTAAAGGTTGGTGTCCTGGTGTGGCGCTGTGGGCTAATGCGCGACTGCAAAATCGTTTGATTTGCCAAAACAGTGGTTCAAGCACCAGCTGCTCCTGGGAAACCCTAGACAGGGTTGCGATGGCACTTAACAAAGGAAAGGTTGGAGTCTTGGTATGGCTGTTGTGGTTTAATACGCCAGACTGCAAAGCTGTTTAAACTGCAAGATGGGCGGTTCGAGCTCACCAGCTGCTCCTCGGAAACCCTCTGCTCGATGGCACATAATGTAAAGGTAACCTACCCAGAGGTGCCTATCTCCTTCTTAAAAATCACAACTGAAAACGCTAGAGAGCCCAGATTTACTGAGACGTCTGGGGTTAAAGTCAAAACGGATGAGTTTTTGATATTTTGTTCCATTACTATATTTTTGGCATTGATTATTTTTTTAAAATATATTTGATTTTGTAAAAACATATGTACTTATTCACCTGATGCGGTGCATCAGACAGACCTATTTCGCCTGTTAGTAACTGAGCATGGTGTGAGTTTGAAAGTCAAAGTACCTACTCTATAACCAACTTTTGTTTGGGAACCAACTCCCCATCTGGCCTTTTCAGAACAGTAATACAGCCTGAAGCCCACATCTTTTCTACGTGTTAGACATGCAAGGTGGTCTGAACACCTTCCTGCCTTATTTTGCACACCCAATCACATCTTGGAAGACCCAAACTGCCACACTAGTAATTAAAAGCATTTGTGTATTATAAATTAGAAAACCTGTTAAAGTGACCTTGTGGTTGGTAGTTCAGTGATGGTCCAACAGTGCCACACCAGGTGTCTGCAAGTGGGGATTTTTCTCCCCACCCCAAATTAAAAACTAGATGCATGTTGTAAGTATATACAAAGATCTATCTATATATATACACACTATATATATATAAAATTAAAAAAGCAAAGGCTTTGGATTTTATATATGAAGGTTTAATTAGGAAAAAAATGTATTCAAACCATTTTATTGAACTCCAAAGAAATGTTCAACTTCCGAACTAGAGATAAAAGTGGAAATACAATACTTTTAGGGGGTAAGAAGTGGATAATAAGTCAAACAAACCTTATTGACAAGAGTTCTAATAGCTTTGTAAAGTTGCTATTTAAACTCTATACATTCATACTTAGCTTATAACTTTTATCGAATCCTAGCAAAGTCAGCATCATTTGAGTAATCTGCCTTGAGCTGTATGCCATGGCTCTCAAGTCTGAAAGCTTAGATATGATTATACCCATGGCAAAAGTGATTATCTGTCATTTCCCACAAATGTAATCAGCTCTTTAAAATAAGTTAGGCAAACATCAATTTTACATAGACCTTATAAAGGATAAGAGGAAGCTGCAATTGTTCATCTAACTATAAAACCTGAACCATAAACTCAAATTTGTACTGCTAACTCTTATTGTCAAATCAAGCCAAGAAAGACAATTACGGACTAAACGAAGTTAATGTGATTCTGCAGGATCCACTAAGGGGGATACTTCAAAAACCTATCATCATCACATTAGTCTTAACAGCTGTCCTGTAATTATTTTCAAGTATGCTCCAAGGGCCACCTCCTAACCAAAGAATAAAACTTCAGGAAGTCAAGTGACAATTATAACCTACATTTGATGAGTTAGGAAATGAAGGTAAAAAAGATTTGAGTCTTGTTAAGTGCTGTAGAGTCAGTTCCAACTTTTAGTGACCCTGAATCGGGTTTCCGAGGCTTTAAATCTTCCAAGGGAGCAGAAAGCCTCATCTTTCTCCCTGGAGTCAGTAGATCTATTCAAAATTAGAAAATAAATCAAAGGTAGACTTGACTTTGGCTTTATTGGGATTAATGTGTCCTAAAACCTTTCCCATTGGGTTATGTCAGTTAGTCTATGTATCTACTTAAGTTACTACCATTTTGTTAGCAGTACCTTAATTTATTAGTAGACAAGACTCTTAGAACAGTCAGTCTTTCTAGTAGGGCATTATAAAACAACAAAAAACCATTTGTGCTTTCTGTTTCTTTAGAAATCAAATTGTCTGTAAAACTCTTGTAATAAACGTTACAAATTTTTCCTCAAAGTAGAAATATTAACTTGACTTAAAACCTTCATTTTGGTATTTAATTACTTAATATTATTTCACAGGACATTCTGAATGATAATTTTTGGGTTTCTTGTGTTTTCTCCAGAACAAATCTTACAATTAAATCTACTTTCCTATGAAACTTGCTCTACCAAAATCAATATATAAGTTGTTTACTGGAGTATGATTATAGGTAAAAGTGACAAAAAATATATTTCTCATGAAAAGTACATTTATCTTTATCAGGGAGTTAGATTTCAAGGTTTTTGTTTCATAGGAAGGAAGTTCTCTATTATGTGGATCTATAAAATGAACTGCAGAGAGACAGGAAGCTGATAACTTGATTTGCCAACTTAATAGCTTTGGCTCATGAATAAATGATAATGGTTTATGTTTTTCTTATAAAAATGAATTTGTGTAATGATATGAGTCCTATTGCCACATTTGTTCTACTTTTTAAAGGATTTCTAATTACTAAGACATACTTTATATTATTTATAATAAGTCAAACCTTTAACTGAAAGCCACTCTTTGCCCACAGTTACCCATTAGCTGAAATTCAGGAAAGAACATAGGTTTAAGAATGAAATCAATAAATCTAGCCATAGGCAGACTAAAAGCTTCCTCCAATCTTCTTCCTATTAGGTCTTCCTTTAAATTAAAGCATTCCCTCTATGAATTATTTAAGTGAATGGCAGGCTATAGAAAGATCATATAATTCTTTGTATAATAATATTTAAGAAACCTAAAAAAAAAAAAGAAATCTATTCAGCATATTTAAGAAATTATAGTATGAATCAAGATGTTATAGCTTGAAAAAGGGGTGGGTAGGTGGGGGAATGTCCTAAAAAGCTTCAGAGAGAAATAGAAAAGTCAAGTTTATTTCCTGATTGGCAAAGGATTATTCCCTAAGCACAGCTAAGTATCTGGTCCAGACTAGCTATTAGCGATGAAACAGTTCCCTTTCTCTGTCAAGGCTTTTCCCAGAGGTAATGCCTTAATTCTTAGTTTTTAAATATTTTATCTTGTTTCTTTTAGCTTTACCCTCTCTTGCCAAGAAGCCCTGCACATCTGCACCATGCTGAATGCGCGCTCTCAACACTAAAATTTACATTTACAAATATTCACAAGGCCCACTTTAGTCATAGAATAGTTAGCCTTTCTAAATGCGTCCTGTAATGTATTCAAAATGAATTAATTACTCTCTTCTTGTCCCTTCATGGTAAATAATTCCTTTCTTAAGTCTTTATATTTCTACTTTCCACATTTCTTTTCATTGTAACAAAGGAAAACCACAAAGCCATTTCAGAGTATATGAATCTCTTCCCTGCTTTCATTTATTAGATCTACTTCAAAGCTACATATATGGCAGTATTTTGAAAATGTTAACTGCTGTTAATATCTTGAAGTTGAAAAAAAAGAAACCAGAGAAAATATATCACAGCAACCAGTTCGAATTATATGAAAAGCTACTTAGATCTTGACTTTCATATAAACACTAATTTTTAACCATTATAAAAGACAACGTATTTCATTTTTCTTTATAAAACTATCCTTTAACAGAATATTTATTAGCTAGTCTTTCCTTAGGTTTTTCGGTACTAATAAAAAGTTATTTTTAAATGAAAAGTATCTAAAATAACAATTGTTTCACAGAAACAGAAAGTCTTATTTATTATCAAATTCTGATAAAAAACTATAATCATGGATAGTCTTACCATACTATTAATTTAAATTTCCTTTCACTTAAAGTGGGTATTTAGGAAGTGTTATATTGGTTAATAAGATACGCTTCTCAGTGATCTACAAAGTGCCACAATAAAGATGAGGTAGTATAAGACTTTTCTACCTTTGTAAAAGATAAATACCATCTTTAGAAGAGATGTTATTTAGTTTGTCATTGGTGTTATTCTGGGCCTAATCACTGCTAAGAATAGTTACCCCTCATTGATATCAAGACAATCTTGAGATCACTGAGAAAAAAAAAAAAAAAAATGCCAGAAGATATTAATAGATATTCCTGGTTTAATACTATAATAATTGCTTGTATTTTAAAACTGTTACTGAAAAATGCCAACTTTATGTTAACAACAACAGAACTGCAAAATAATGAAATGCTACTTAAATATACAGCAATGATACTGAAGAAACATCACTCTGATTTGGAAATTTCTAAACCAAATTTCTTCAGTCCAAGTAAAAGCAGCTTTCTGATATAGCTAAATATCATCAAGAAATCACTTGTTAAGTGCCATGGAGTCAGCTCCAATTCATAATGAATCTGCCCTGTATAGTTTCCAGAGGCTGGTGGGTTTTAACCACTCACCTTGCAGTTTAGCAGTTCATTGCTTATCTGGCATCAGGACTCAATTACTATGTTAAAAATGCCAATTTGTGCTAACAGATCACCAGAAGAAAAGTTGGGCAACTGTCTAGGAGTATGACTAAGAAAGGTTTATTATGCACTGGTTCTTTAAAAAGTGACTTCTGAAAGATTAGGAAATTTAAGGGGCAATGAGTTTATATTAATGAGGGAAGAATGACTCTGTAAAGGAAGGTAACAATGGATGCCCAACTCAAAAAGAATTAACAACAAGAAAGAGATAAGATATCATGATTCTATTTATCTTCATTAGTTATATTGGGCTAATAAATGTAAATTAAAAATACCACCTTTTTGCTCAATACTATTTGGTATGGCATAAACCATGTAGTTGTCAAAAGGCTTTCCTGTTTTTGAGGCCATTTCTGAAGACAAAAATCATTATTTGAAACTTGAAGGGAAAAAATTTTTTTTTTTTAAAACTTCCTGAATACTGAGTTCACGTTTAATTTTTGAATCTGTGTTCAATTTAAATAATGAAAAAATACACAGGTACTCTTTGGTTACCAGTGAAAACTTATGGCTGTTTTAAACTGGAATCTCCTCCAAGCAGAGGTTCAGATTTCTATAAAAGGACTAAGTAAAAGCAATAGTTCATAAGCAAATACAGAAAACTCCAGTTTCCTTAGGTCTTAATTTCTGGTTACTGATAGTGTTATTATTTTTAAGTCTCTAGTGAGAAAGGAACAATATTTACGTTTTGAAGTTGTCTCAAGTCTTCCAAGATGTGAGACTTATTAACCCTGCTACATTGTAGAAGCATAAATTTAACTCCAAAATGTCATGTTTTCATTCAACTCTCACTGACCATATTAAACAAATTTAGTAATCCTGCTTTAGCATTAATATTTAATATGAAAAATATGCCATTATGACTTTTAAATCATCTTGCTGCCTGTTAACAACTGTATAAGAAAATTCTAAAAGTCAATTATATTTTATACGAATTGTGAATTGTATAATACTTAGCTTTACTGAAGAATTTAAAATAATTCATGAATATGGGATGTGGAAACTGTATAGGAATACCAATGGTACAAATGAAAAGTTTTACATGTAACAAGGACTCAGTATTATTTTTAAAGAAAAGTATGAGAATCAAAATATTCAACTATGTTTGCAATGCCTAGTAAATTTCATGTAAAAATTACAATGAAGAAATGAAAGTTAAGTATACAATGTGTGGTTAAAAAACCACACAAAACAACCAAACACTTGGTCAAAAAGTTCCATTAACCCTAGTGTATAGCCTTAAACAATTAGTGTATCTTAAGAAACAAGAGCTGATCTGGAAATGAGACTTTGGGCAGGTTTATTTTGGACTCCAACTGCCTTTGTAGGGAAAAAAAAATCAAAATGGCAGCATAAGAACCATAATATATTCAATAAAAACGTATACATAATCATTCAGATGTTCTTACCCATTCCCCTAGCATTGTTGTTCTGGTGCATCAATCCTCATTACTCTAACTTTTGATTTATAGTGATATTCCTTCAGGTATAATTTCATAGAAGAAGGAATTGGAAGGGCATCAATGCCATCATAAGTTGTACAGTTACAAATAACTGTTCTGCATATATGCTGCAAGGAAAAGGGGAAAGTCCGAATTAAAGGAGTGGATAAAAGTGGTTCGAAGAACATACAGGCACTTGGGTCCTTATAATGTTCTAGGAGACCAGTAATGTCAGGAGAATGGAAGACACAAGGATCATGTGCATCAAAGCTAAAGTTGTGATTCCACTGTTCAATTCTAGCATGAAGAGAACGACTATAGCGTCTAAAACTAACAGAGAATAAGTAGTCTTCCTGTGCTGAGTCTCGAAGTAAAAAGGTTCCCTCTGGTTTTCCTTCTAGTAGAGCTTCGGCTGCATATTTATCCATGACTCCCCAGTAACACGGATTGTTATTGATTTGAAGGAGGTCTGGCACAAGACAGTGCACATAATCAATCTGGGTGTGATACTTCGGCGGCGTTTCCAACTGCAGGATTTCATCATCAAGTTCCCATTTGGGTTTGTTTCTTTTTCTGGAACTTGTGCAAAGTGTTATCATTTCATCACCTGAATCCATGTCACTATCTTCTATACTGTTATTTGAAACCAGGTTTATCATAGAGCCAGCCATAGGACCACCTCTACACGAAGCATTGTTGGTAGTTATGACGCAGGGCTGAACACTGGTAAGAGAGAAAGAGTCTACATCTTCCATGTTTCTTCTTTGCTGCCCATCCCTCAACTCACTGTGAGACAAGTCTGTGCTTACCCAGTCTTCTGATTTGGGACTTATAGGAGCAGTGTGTCGTTTAATAAAATGCCATCTAAAAGCTAAATCTGATCGAGGTGGGAAAGGACACTTATCTAACATGAGTTCACTGATATGAATTTTTCTTTTAGATGAAAGTCCTGAAGAGTGTCGACTACTACAATTCTTAATTGGAAAACACTGACCCACAGCATCTTGTAGTTTCTGTTTAAGAGATCGGCCTAAAAATCTATGCCCACAGGAATGATCTAAGTCCAACTCGATCGATGAACAGCTGTGCTTCCTTTCTTGACTCCTTAAAGGAATTTCCGTTTTCTCTATAGCATCTACTGTTTCAACATCCGAACAACTCTCACTCTTTTTTGACCAAGATAACTTCTTTCCGCTCCATACATAACCATCTTTCCTGTCAGCACTTCGACTCCGACTAGTTTTGGGCCTCACATCTATATTTTTACTATTATTTTCAATATTTTCTGCCATTTTATCAAATTATCCACGAAGTCCAGTGTTATAAGTACTGCCTTTTCAGTTTTTCCGGCAGGAAATTTCTTCTGGGAACTTTCTGGATGTATCTAAAGGGGGAAAAAAAAATGCCATTAACCATTTGTCATCCACATAGTATAGTTCATATATCAAGCCCCAATTTGACTCAACTTTCTTTCATTTCCCCTCTCCTTGTTTCCTTTCCTGTTGATTGAAAACAGGTACAATTTTGAGTTATAAAAGCTGCTGTTGTTGTGTAAGGACCAAACTGACTTTACCTGATTTTGCCTACCTAGAGACTGCTTGACTAAACTCTAGTCAGGCTCAGGAAAGCATTTTAAATAGACAAGGCCTCAGTTTTTAGTTCCCTCCAGAGACAAGGTCAATCTCCATTCTGTACATTAGCCTGAACATGTCCTCTAGCTCCA